AGTGCCAACCACCCTCTGGGGGAAGGACCTGCAGAGACTTGCCCAGACTCTCAGAAAGTTACAGGTCATATGTAGGGTGTTCTTCTCCTTATTCCTTCTCTCTCCTCCTTTTCTGAAACCTGTGAATGAAAAGAAAAATGAAAGTTCTAAGGTGAGAGGGAAAGTGCTCCGGGCTTGCTTTTCTTTCTTTCATCTCTTTGAGAACTCAGAATAGTCTGTTACAGAAAGAAAATGAGACTGAGATGCTCGAGAACAGATTTTCAAGTGGCTTCATCCTCCTTTCTATGAGGACAATTGCACATTTGGATTACAGAGGTGGGCAGGTGACAGGCAGGTGTCTACAGGTGGGATGTCAGGGCACCAGAAGTGGACAAGGGGATTTTTTAGGGAGCAGGTTAGGCAGTCTGATGCCTTGAGCTGACTTTCAGCATTAGATACACGTTTTAAATTGCCATCAGCTTCCATAGTCATTTAAAATGTGATCACAAGAGACCTGACTCAGGTGTGTTCGTGGAACTGAAGCAGCTCCTGGCTCCAAACTCCACAACCTGTGACAGTGGAGTCCATCCCTGCAACCCTCCTGGATTGGAAACAAAGACTGAGGGGTCTGCTCCTGGCAGAGGGCCCTGGTCTCAGGTAGAGGCACTGTTTGCTGGTTTTGTTCCTTGGAAAGATTTACAGCAACTTCATCCTACCGTAGTAGAAAGAGCTGTAAAGGAGGAGTTAGAATTCAAGCTGTGTCCTGGTGAGATTCTCATCTTTGTTCGTTGCAGATGTTAAGTCATTTTGAGATGTAAGTCATTTCTTTGAAAAAGCTTTCTTTGGGGCTGAAATATAATGGCAGGAAATTAGCTGTTAATCCTGTCTTTTCTTGGACAGACTAGACATGCATAATAAACCCCCCTTTTCCCCCTCTTTCCTTGCCCAGTGATTCAGTTTGACCTGAAAGAAAACATTTTCTTCCAAGAAAGACAATGTTTATGAGGTGCAACCCTGGTTTGGCTCTGATGATTAGAGACACATGTATCAACCTGTGTAAAATCTGTGATGGCTGAGACGAGCCCTGGTCAGGAAGGCTGAGATCACAAACACTGTAAGAACCAAAAGAGCCAGCCCTAGCTTAAAATGTTCCAAAGTTGCATCCAGGCTCCTAAACCTGCTTTATAACCCTTGCTCCTGTTGAGCACAATGAGACAGTAAAGGTCTGATTTGCCTGGGAAGGAGCCACAGTGCCCCCCTCTCCCTGATTCTTCCTGCTCAGGGGGATCTGGGGGAGGCACATCCCAGAATCAGGAGTACAGTTGCATTACCTTTGTCTTCCATGTAACCCCTGGATCCTCCCAGCCACTTGGCAGCACTGCAAACACTGTTTGAAAGAGGCAAAAAGGGGGTTAGGGAAAGGTTGGAGTTGTCACTGCACCCAGAGACAGACACCTTACATTTAAGAGACGGCCCTATATTTGTCAAAACTATCTGTTTTCCATTAAATTCCCTAATAGATTTAAAATAAATAATTATCTTTTCCAGAACTAGTCAGGAAAAACAGCAAGCATGATTATATGGTCTGGTGAACAGGTGTTAGAGGCAAGTTTCACATTTTCTCATGCGTGTCCCACACCACAGGTCTCACTGAGGTAGAAAAGCCTTTTGTTTCCCCATTTTAACACTTGTAACTACACAGCTGATGCTGTAACAGCTTCCTGGGCACAGGTAGGAAGGGTGTCAGTGTGAAGAGACAGTTATTTTCCGCTTATGTGGCTGAGAATATTTTGTTATTTCAGGGTATTTCAGCAAATGGAAGAGACACCTTTGGGAAACTGGGAGAAGTTCTTCCGCTGAGCAGGAACATACATTCAGTCTTTAGTTCATTGCTTCTGGTGGGCAAGCACTAAATCAGGCACTGTGATGGGATCCCAGGCAATTCCTCCAGCTTTGGTTAGTGCTCCTCAGTCAGAAATGCTGAGAAAATGGAAAGTGATAGGGAAATAAAAAGTTAATACAGGTCCTTTTAATTGTGCAGTGAGGGCGGAGAATATTGTGGTGGAAATCAGGAGGGTGTGGAAAATAGAAGAGGCATGTGGAGGAATGTTAGATGCCTCTCTCAGGGTGACTGGAGTAGGTATTTATGGTTTTATTCTTTAAACAATAACATCTACACCTGCCCCAGACCTCTCAGTCTGGGCACTGAAGGAAACATCAGCATGGAAGTCAGGGGGAGCCTTTGTTCCTTCAGTGATTCAATCCCTTGTTGAATTTAGGATCATAGAATATCCTGAGCTGGAAGGGATCCACAAGGATCATCCAGTTCAACTCCTGGCCCTGCACAGACACCCCAACAATCCCACCCTGTCCATGAGAGCATTGGCCAAACTCCTTGGCTCTGGCAGCCTTGGTGCTGTGCCCACTGCCCTGGGGAGCCTGGTCAGTGCCCAACCACCCTCTGGGGGAAGAACCTTTTCCTGAGATCCAACCTAAACCTCCCCTGAAGCAGCTTCAGGCCATTCAGGTCCTGTCCCTGGTGAGTTTAGTACCCAGGAAGCCTCTGAGAGGCCCCTGGGCACTGTTTATGTGGTGGGGTACCAGGTACCCAAGCTGTGTGTCTGTGCATTGCTGCTGTCACATCATGTAAGAGATGCTCCCTCTCTCCTTTCAAACGTTGGGCTTTATTACTGTTCTCCCTTATCTCTAAACATGGCAAGGCCAGAACATCTGCTTATTTAAGTAGTTCCATTTGGTCCTAAATCCATCAGGTTCTTGTAAAGAGGACTTTAACAGGTCATTTTTCGAGTGAATAGCTGGGTGTTACTTGAATTCCTTGGACTTGGAAGTGATATTATCTACTTCTCCATTGCATTAATTATTTTTTTTTTAAATAAGGTATTTTGAAATTCATTTTTAGTTAAACCAAAAGGAATTGAACTGAAATTCATATGCCAGGCAGCAGCCTTGTGAAATGTAAACTGAGTTATAAACCTATAGAAAATAGATTTTATTATGGAAATGTAAACTGTCCCCTAAGCATAGCACGGGGAGGTGATGCTGTAACAACATATGAGTGAGTAATAAACAACAGCCAGTATTATATCAGATGGCTGGGTACAGCTAGAAATGTATCTGTTTGGGTGTTGAATTATCCCCAAATTTGAATTATGGGCATATAATTCAAATTATCCCCTTCCAGCAATATAAAGTCTGACAGACATATTTTTTTAATATACTTCTTGTGCTGTTTTGCATTATGTCACATCCTCCAGCGCTAAAACCACAGCTTTCCTACCATGATTCATCAGAAATCAGGGGGGAAAAATAGTTGAGATCTGATATACTGAGTACTCTTAAATTACAGAGCAGCTTCAAGTGTAGTGTATGAGGAGACAGAGGCAGGGTGAATAAGTATGTCTCAGGCTGTCATGTCCATGAACTGGGAAACTCACTGGCTCATTGAATCATTTCCTGGTACTTCTGCTCATCCATCGATACACAGCAACCAGGCTGGGCTTGCAGAGATGAAAGGCAGAGTAATTCAGAGCCAGCTGTAATTCTTTATAAAACATACACTGAGTATTTTTGTTGACTCCTGCATGACATTTCCAAGGTGGCTGGGAAGCCAGGCCATTTGTTACAGGCTCTGGATCAATAGAAAGCACAGAGGAAAGCAGGGAAAGTGAACATCCAGTGGAAAGGACAGCACAACTTCCAAGTTTGCACATCTCAGCTGTGCACAGGGTACACTGCAGGGGAACATCCTGTTCTTCAGACAGCCACATTCAATCACTGAAAAATATTTAGCATGAGGAAAAGCTGCTGCCTTATGTATCTGTAATTGTCAGATTTACCAGTGAACAGAACAGAGGCATTTGCAAACCCTTCTCCTCCTATAGCTGTATGACCACGATGGTTACCTGTGTCTGGAATGCACATCCCACAATCACTGAGAGCTCTGACACATCTGAGTTCCCACTTTCATTGTTGCTGGCCGCTTTTTCACCCCAAAATTACTACATATTAGCAAATAGGAGAGGCTAATAGATCATAAAAACCTAAATATGTGTTTTTCATCAGACATGATCTATCAAGGATAAAAATAATTTGCTGTATTGGCTCTCAAAAGATCAAATTTCAGAGTAGAGTCTTGCTGACTTCAGGGGCTTGATGATTGAAAGTTTACAGGGAGTCTGGGCTCATGTTTCAAGATCTGATTTGAAAGCCAACTTTTACCTTGTACAGATTCAGGACTTTCTTCATGTCATTATAAAGATCAAGTCTATTCCCCCTTGTGTTTTTTGTGCTGTCCTTACTCAGAAAAGTTTAAAACCAGGCTTTCAGTGTTTTCTATATTAAAAGACAGAGGGGAAAAAATTATACCTCATAGGTTTGTCCACGAAAATCACTTGAAAATTACCACTTTTGCTAAGATTTTAAAAAATTAACACATCGCCTGGACTTTGCATGTGAAGATTTAACTTTTTGATAAACAGCAAACTCATCTACTGCTGTGCCAGCTATTTTTAACCCACCTTGTGAGTATGCTTTTTTTATTGCTTTATACAGCATATCTGATTCTCTCTAAAGCACAAACTAAAAAATCTATCGGGCTGTCATTTGCTGCATAGTGCCATCTATCATCATGCAGCTTGGCAGCTGTAGTGCAGGGAGGGAGGGGGGAGCTGGAGCAGGAGGCACAGTCAAGGACTTTCACATGTAACACCAAAAAAAAAAAGAAAAAAATCCTTGTCACAATTATTTATGGCTCTTGCTGGGGCACATAATAGGACACATAAAACCTCTGTTTCAGTTTCAAGCCCCCTCCCCTGTCGGAGTTGGGCACAGGCAGTTTTGCTTTACACATACAATTTCCTGAACAATGCCGAGCACTTGTGAAGTGACAGTGACAAATACTGGAGGCTCTGGCTGCAGCTCTGCAGGCTGTTACAGGAGCAGGGGTGTCAATAATCAAGGAAGGCTGCCAATGATAGCAAAATGCCACTGTGATACTCCCCTTGTTCAAGCAGCTCTCTGCAATGCTTTTATTTTGAAGTTCCAGGAAACTTCTCGTGTCCCTGTAGTTCCAGGCTGTGAGGAAATAAAGTGTCGGAGGGACCCGTGCCAAGAAATGATTTTTCATTGTTTGATCTTCTGTGCAGTTTGATCTCACGATAACTAAAATATTGCTGGTTCAGAGGGGCTTAATGAATATTCAGCAGTTTCCTATTAGTGTTAGCCTGGTGTGAAGTCTTTTTGTTAGGGTCTATCGTATCAGCCCTCTGCGTGGTGTGCTTGACTTTGTTGTTCAGAGTGTAACCTTTGGTTCAGGTCCCAGCTGATGGATTTCAGAGCGACTCTGCTCCTCTCTGGATGGCAGCAATGGAGAGCTGGGCTGTTAAGGAAACCATGCTTTAGGTAATTAAACATAAAACTCGGGTCCGAACCAATAAAATGTCTTGCTTGCAGTTTCTCAAGAAAGAGCATAGACAGATATTAACCTTGATGTCCCCATTAAAGTCCTCTGATACACTTTTTATTTCCCATATCTCATAGTATTTCTGATCTCCAGTGTTAAGTAGCAAACTGTTAAATTAGTGGAAGAGAGGCCAGGATAGATTTGCTCCTGTGGAGCAAATCAGTTTTGAAGGTACGATCCACAAAAACACCAAGAACACAAATTAAACAGAAGCACTTGAAAAACCATTCACTTTAAGCACAATACATTTTCATTATTGTTAAGGCAGCCACAAACAGCATCTAGGTACACAAAGTAACTGTCACGAAACCCACTATTGATAAATCAGGGTTACATTTATCTAAATGAAAGGCACCTGCCCTCTTCCTGAGGCTGCAGGAAAAGGTGGTGGCTTTAGGACAGCTTCAAATGTTAGAACATGCCTAGAAAAAGAAAAGATCTGAAAGACCAAGTTAGTTAGACACGAATTGTGATGATTTTCTGTGGTTTAGTTCTGTTGCACTGAGTGTGCTGTCAGTCATGTGCAGTTCATTCAGACTTGTTTCTCACGACCACATTCCCAGGGCAGTTCCTATAGGTTTGAAGTGCTCCTGCATGAAGCAGGGTTGGTTTAGGAAACATGGATCCTGCTGGCTCAGTTACATCCCACATCCACCTTATTGCCCCTGTGCAAAAAGTGTTCTGAGAAACTGTTCCCACGTGGCAAAGCTCGTCTCTGCTGTGACTTTACATTCCACCACCAAACCTCCCTTGAATTCTAAGCCTCTAACACAGAGTTCCTGTTGAACAGAGGTGGTCTGGACAAGAGTAAGTTGAAACAGCTGTGTGCTCTTTACCTCATCTGCACCAGAGTCACAGCCAGTTCCTGCTCACTGCTTCCTCCCTCACAATCTCATTAAACATGTACACGTGGGTTTTTTCTCCTGTATAGTTTCGTTTTAAATTTCCTGTCCTACTTGGATTTTTTCCTCACCTTAGTGAAAATAGGAACGGGATCAAATGTTGAACAGACCATATTTACGTCCATTGCTGTTGTTGTTTTCTTTAGTTCACTGAAAATTGAGAGGAGAACTATGGTCTTTATTGTTGTTTCTGTCAGTAGCAGCTACACAAGATCTCTCTGAGATCCAGGTGATGGGCAGCATCAGGCACAATGTTGTCTTGATTCCTGAGCAAAGTGGGAAAAAAGTTGACATCATTATGTTAAAATTCCCAGCACAGGAAGGACATGGAGCTGTTGGAATGAGTCCAGAGGAGGCACCAAGGTGATCAGAGGGATGGAGCAGCTCTGCTGGCAGGAAAGGCTGAGACAATTGGGATTGATCAGCCTGGAGAGGAGAAGCTTTGGGGTCACCTAATTGTGGCCTTCCAGTGCCTGAAGGAGTTACAGGAAAGATGGAGGGAGACTATTTACAAGGACCTGGAGTGACAGAACAAGGGGAAATGGTTCCACACTGGCAGAGAGGAGGGTTAGATGGGATATTGGGAAGGAATTCCTCCCTGGGAGGGTGGGGAGGCCCTGGCACAGGTTGCCCAGAGAAGCTGTGGCTGCCCCATCCCTGGAAGTGTCCAAGGTCAGGTTGGACGGGGCTTGGAGCAACCTGGGATAGTGGGAGGTGTCCCTGCCCATGGCAGGGGGTGGGACTGGATGAGATTTAAGGTCCTTCCAACCCAAACCATTCTCTGATTCTATGAAACTCTCAGAAGTGAGAGCAAACCTGGTAGATTAAGGAGAGATTTGCCAGTGTTTGCAGAATATATTTTACTCTTTCCAAGAAAAGTAACAAGGAGTGCATGGGCTCTTCTGCATCAGACTCTGCAGTGCATTGTGAAATAGGATTACTGTCAATCAAACTAATTTCTCACGGATCACTTCTTGCCTTTAATTTCTGTTCCTTTGCTTCTATTTCCTACAAGCTTTTATAGCATGTTATGCTTTTGGCACTTTCTGAAGAGGAAAAATGTTTTTCCTGGAGTTTATAGACGCATTGTAGAAGAGGTTTAAATACTATTAAAAATGCTTTAAAACCCCAAATTTTATTGGTAGTTAAATGATCCATATAGTAGAAATGTCCATGTAGTTTCTGTTTATTTTCAGTGCATTATTTTTTTTTCCTTGAGTTTTTTGCTCTAGGGACTGTTTCAATGTAGTTGGGACACATGAAAACAGAATTCCAAATGTGGGTACATGCAAATAATTAATGTTAGCATTAAGGCTTATCTAAGGAGCAGAAAAATGGAAGGCTTTGGTTGTGGCATATTTCCTGGGATTTTCTTTGCACTGGTTCCCTTTCAGCATCTCACTTTTGGAGAAGTCTCTGTTCTGCAGTGCTTCTGTTGCTTTCTTATTCTAAAATCCAGTTAAGTGTAGAAAAATGTTCACTGCCCTTTTCTTATGAATTACAAGGTTGTAAAAACATTACCAAAAAGAAGGAATTTGCCATAGTCTGGGTTTGTGAGTGGGAAAAAATAATGACTTGTTGGGTCATTTGGGGAAAAATCACAAATATTGAAACACTGTGAGTTCTTTGGGTTTGGATTTGATAGATCAGGGGAAGGGAGCTGCAATCATCACAAAAAGTGATAGATTTAGATTTGATCATTTCCTTACAAACTGTTCTTGATAATTGTGCACAAAAGTGTGAGGTGTATTTTTATATTGCTGATTTTCTACAAGTGCACTTAGAATCTGCTTTAACCACTTTGAGGTTGTAAATTACCAAGTAATTAATATTAGAAGGTAAAAATATGATTTAAGGTCTGCATTGGTACAAAGAAAAAAATAATGGCGTAGTGCCCCATCCATTCCTGTTCACAAATTCAGCTGCCATGGGAGTGCATCACCTGAGGTTTTCAACAGCTAAAAAGTGCATTCTTGTAAAAGGCTGCCTTTCCAATTTTTAGAAGACAAAAGATTTCTATTTACTATACAAATACATTCACCTGTTTGCCAGCTGGTGACTGTGATGCAGAGTTTTTCCATGAGTCACCACGGAGTGTTTTCAGTTTGTTTGGCTGTTTCAAGTCAGTATTTAATAAACTTTAAGCCTATTTGGGTTTTAATTTCTTGTGATGCCACAGCACATTGTTCTTTGCTTGAGATTGACACCAATTTAGTAAGATGTGGCAAACATGCAGCTACCAAGGAAATAGTTTCCTTAGCAACAAGGAACCTATTGACAACGCTCAACACGGAACCCACTTTAACCCCAGTCTGGGGAGTTGCTGTTTCTCTGGTTTCTGGCTGTTCTTTGCATCTGTACAAATCAGATGTTAGAGGACCAAAATGTGCTGTCTATAACCACAGGCAAAGTCATCTTCAATGTGTATAAAAGTAGGAGTTGGTGAACAACCAGTTGCACCATCAAAACTTGGGCATTTAACAAGGCACAGCAACATTTAAAATGCATGGTGGGCAAGTCTGAGCTTAAGTTAATCTGTAAGCTGAGCCCAGGTGACACATCCAGGATTTAATAGAGCATAATATAAAATAACAGGAGGAAAAAAGCCTTGGTGTGTTGTGCTGACACACATTTTTGGGCAGAGGTATTTATATGTGCCACTGATGGAAGCAGCCTGGGTAAATGCAACATTAAGTTTAGGACTGATAAAAATAAAATAAACATTCCACAATTGCACGTGGGAATTGTTCCACCTAACTCATGTGTCATGTAAAATAGCAGTAACAGTGTGTGACTTTGCTGGGAGAGGAAAAGGCTTAACCTGTTTCAATGGAATTTTGGTTTAAAAGAAAGCCCAATACAAGTTCAGAAAAAGTAATCTCACCACAACATTCCTTGTTGTTTATATTTTTACAAATATCTCAGTTACATGTTCCCTGCTTTCCTGATTTAGGCACCAGCATTACATGGAATGACCCAGTATTAACCATGGGAGTCTAAGCCCAGAAGATATTTGAAGTCAAGTCCCTGTTCTGCTACATATTTTCTTGTGCAATCCCCCATGGACTCACATTTCCAAAGGGATTGGCAATTGTCAATATTCCCACTTTGGAGCAATCACCTAGAGACCATTATGAGGATATGATTTTTGGAAAATGCTAAATGCTCATGTTCTCAGAATAAGATCTCTTTAAAGTGCTCCTAGTTAAGCACCCAAATTTGAAGCACTGCATATGTTAGAATTCCTACGGTTCCTGGCACCGTCTCCAGCAGCGGAGCAAAGCACAGAGACAGCTGAGGCAGGAGAAACCAGGCCTGAGATGTTATTCCTGCAAAATCAGGGATATCCTTGACTCCCAGATCTGGTGATGCAGATGCTGCCTCAGGCCAGTCTGACCTCGGGGTCCCCTCAGTCCTTGCCCACACCCAGGTTTTAATATCAACGTGGTTTAATGATGCTCAGGACAACATAATACTGAAGCCATAAATCCCAGAATCCCAGAGTGGTTTGGGTTGGAAGGGACCTTAAAGAACACCTCATTCCCACCCTCTGCCATGGGCAGGGACACCTTCCACCAGACCAGGTTGCTCCAAGCCCCGTCCAACCTGGCCTTGGACACTTCCAGGGATGGGGCAGCCACAGCTTCTCTGGCAACCTGTGCCAGGGCCTCCCCACCCTCCCAGGGAGGAATTCCTTCCCAATATCCCATCTAACCCTGCTCTCTGCCAGTGTGAAGCCATTCCCCCTTGTCCTGTCACTCCAGGCCCTTGGAAATAGTCTCTCTCCATCTTTCCTGTAACTCCTTCAGGCACTGGAAGGCCACAATTAGATGACCCCAAATCTTCTCTTATCCAGGCTGATCAATCCCAATTGTCTCAACCCTTCCTGCCAGCAGAGCTGCTCCATCCCTCTGATCATCTCGGTGCCTCCTCTGGACTTGATCCAACAGCATTTAATTTATACGAAGACTCCCTGATTTCTAACAGGGCTCTGGGCCACACAGAATTGACCATTAACCAATGAAATAAGCCATATTTTCCATAACAAAAAGCAGCACTAGAGTGCTCAACATTGATATTAATATAACTTTCAAATAGTTTCTAGGTAAAATTCAGTGGGTCACCTCTGTCAGGTTTTAAGATTTGGGGCCAAATTTCCGATTAAAGTCTCTTATGAAACCTGCAGCAGCACCTGCACAGTTTTAAAAGAATAGCTGTTAGATTAATTTTCATTGCAATTTGTTAAATAACACTCTACAACAAAAGGAGAACGTTACAAAGGTGAAAAAAAAAATCTGTTCTATTTCAAACATGAGAATCAGCAAAACATCTCTTAAATCAATAAGAATCTTTATGATGGCTTTGGTCATAAAGATCTGATTTTGAAAATAAAGCCCTTTTTGCTTGTGCATAAATAAGTGTAGAAATTACTGCACAATATCTCTAGAAATATATTTGAATACATTCAGAAATATATTTTCTGAAATGAAATTATTACTTTGTCTTTAGTTCCGCTGATCTGAAATAATTCAAGATAGTACTGAGCATTTGGAAATTATGATTTTTCCAAAAAGAAATTAATAGCACAGTAAAACATAGCTCATCTTGAAAATCTGACATCATCTGCTTTTGTGATTGTTTTGTTTTGGTTTTTTTCTTAATTTCAGTTTCCCTTTCTGTACTCAAAAATGGTAAACCTGTGACTTCTATTAAAGAACTTTTTAGCTGCTAAACTGCCTTAATTAAATTGCTGTATCAGCAGTTCCACACTGAGCATCTCCTTCATGCCAAATGGTTGTGATTTGATTATCTCTTCCATGAACCCCTGCAATTCTGTGGATATGCTTTTGTATAATTAGATGAAGTATGGCCTGAAAACCAACAATATTTCCTAGCCACTGGTTTTAGAAATCCTTGCTAGGAAGAACACTGGTGATAAACTGATTTTTTTAATGCAAATTACAAGTATTATAATCTACCAGATACTTTAGCATCAGTTGCTCTTCAATTTGAGAAAATGCTGATTTAAAGCACAGCTTAATACAGTTTTTTCAGTCAAGCGTAATAGTAAAAAAAAAGAAACAGAGACTTCCTTCCTTAAAATTCTCACATTAGTTTGGCCAAAGACAGGTATAGTTTCATCTTAAAAAAAATTTAAAACTTTGAGCTAGGATAGTCTTTAAAATATACATATTTAAAAAAAATCATCGCCAAAATCACATTAATAAGTGTTCATTTTTTCATGTCCTATCGCACAGGGCACCGTGTCAACACTCAACATAATAAACACTGGTGCAGCCAAGCCACCAACTAATTCCATTGGTAACTCGTCCCAAAAGGCAACTAAAAAGCCTATTTTGAAACATATGCCTTTGTGGATGTCAACTAGTGATAATTTGCAGTTGACCCCTGCTGGATCTGAGCAGGTGAGTTGGAAGGGATTTAACCTCATCCTCCTGCAGGTTCCTCCAGCCCTTCATTCCCTCACATCCAGCCCAGGTGAGATGTTTTTGGTTTTTTTTTTTCCTGGGAACAGACATTTCAATTTCATTCTCTCGTCTCTGGTGGTTAACGATGCCAAAAAGCAGCATTAGGGATACGTTGGTGCTTGAGGTTTTCTGACACTTATTAAAAACTCCCCATGACCAGCCCCGCTGCCTGTCGGGGTCGCTCAGGCAGAAAGGCTGTGGCACAGAGCCACAGGCAGCTGTGGCACTGAGCAACTCCTGGGATCTCAGGGTGTCTCTTTAGCTGCAGATGCTCCAAAGTTCTCTGACAGTTTGAAAACAAGGGGGTGACGGAGGGTGTCCATCTCTCCTGAAGTCTTTTCCAAAGAAGGGGGTGACAAAGGGTGTGTGTGTCTCCTGAAGTCTTTTCCAAATCATGGAGTGGAGGAGACATTGAGTTTTGCAAGGAGACTGTGGGATCCCCAAGCACAGGTTCTGCCAAGGCAGAGAACAGAAGCTATAAAAGCTTAGATCTGCAAGGGACATGGACAGTCTGAGCCAGGGCGTCCTCCTCCTCCTCCCCAGCACAGAGTGAGCAATTGATAGGAATTGCTGGTCAAAATAAGAGTTGTTGCAGATTTCTTCATCAACCTGCATGAACTTTGCCAGGCTGTGGTTTTGAGTGAACTCTGCCAGGCTTTTCAACCTGGGGGCTTGGAGCAACCTGGTCTAGTGACCCACATTCCCTGTCTTTCTACTCATCACAGAATGGTTTAGGTTGGGAGGGACCTTAAAGCCCATCTCATCCCACCCCCTGCCATGGGCAGGGACACCTTCCACTAGCCCAGGTTGCTCCAAGCCCCATCCAGCCTGGCCTCTTTCTCCAGCTCTTTTCATCCATGCCCTGACTTGACTCATCCTCACTTCAAAGAATCTTGAATAAGACCCAGAAACGTCTGAAAAATTTCAGTAACTCTGTTTTGGTAGCAAATAAGAAATGAAGAGTCTTTGGGCAAATTAGTAACATTGGTTCCAACCATTGCACTATTAAGAAGAGTCTTCAGTGTATACTGGGAGAATTTCATCTTATCCATATGTATATCTGTTGCTTTCTGTTTTCTTGATAAAAATGCCAACCTGATTCAAGAGTTCTGCCTTGAGCAAACTACACAAAAATATTAACATTTCATTAACAGAACATCCCCTGATATGTAAATGATGATACAGGACAAGCTCCTCTTTACAGCAGTAATTGCTAAGCACAGGAGGGTCACAAAAGCTGAAATTTTGGTGAGCAGCAGACTCAGGACACGTTATTGTGGTGTCACCTACTACCAACAGCTTGAAAAACATGCAAAACCCAGTGACTTCTGGTCTGAGTTGGTTGGGAATGGCTACATGCTTCTGAGTTTAATGAGAGAGGAATTAAGCACATTCACACATGTGATATCTCTGAGCTGTTTCTGTAAGAGCTGCTAATGTAGGACAGAAGTAATAAACCAATAAATTAAAGGTTCTTAATTATCATTAGAAAATATTGCTATCTTTAAATGCAGATGCAAAGTAGGGGGGGGAAAGAAGTAAAGGACTTTCTGTTTTTAAATTAGCATGAATTAAGAAAAAACACAGCTCAGATTTTCGTTCTGACTAGTTTTAACTGGGGAAATGCTGAATATGCAGTGATTTCATTTTTTTTGCATTAATAATAATAGGAAATGGTAGATAGTGGCATCTCAGCACAATTCTAATTTAATGAGAAACAATAAAATAGTTTTCCAAAGGGGCC